TCTGCTGCAGCCGTTAGACTTGAACCCTTTGTATCTCTCTGGCAAGATGTTCTGCTTCTGAATCAGCTGGGTGGGTCTTGTCTCTAGCCTCTTTGTAGGGAGTTCTGCTGAAGGGATCCGTGCTGGGCCTGCGTTCTTGGTCTATTCAGGATCCCGTGGCCCCCGGTCATCTCACTCACTCGCCAGGCCTGCGCTCTGGGTCTAATCAGCATCTGGAGGGCCCCAGGTCGTCTCACTCACTCACCAGGCCTGTGCTCTGGGTCTGTTCAGGATCCCGCGGCCGCCTGGGTCGTCTCACTCACTTGCTGGGCCTGCGCTCTGGGTCTGTTCAGGATCCCGCGGCCCGGGTGGTCTCACTCACTCGCTGGGCCTGCATTCTGGTCTGTTCAGCCATAAATTTCTTAAGGTGCTCTTTATCATTGAAAGATCTTATTTCTGTATCTATTTTGAAAGATAATTTTGCAAGTTATAGTTCTGGTTTAGAAGTTGTTTTTAGGGGCGTAAAATATGTCCCTTCAAGCACTTGTAGCTTTTAAGGTTTGTCTTGATAAGTCTGCTGTTACTCTAATATGTTTGCCTTTATGAGTGATTCTTTGCTCTTCTCTAACATCTTTTTTTTTTTGTATGTAATGTGTTACGGGGAAGTTTTTTTATTGTGATTATTTATACTTCACTTTATGTTTAATTTGGAACATAATATGCTATTATTTCCATAAACATTTTTATGCTGTTATTTTTCACTCATTCCAGTTATCTAGTTAATCTTATTCTTTGCATCTTCTAGCAGCGGTTGTATCTGTTTTTCCTTCTTGGTTGATTTTTAGCTTTTGTTTTTAGGAGATCTCTGTATAATTGTTTTCAGAGACCATCTTCTAGTTCTTTTAGTCTGTCATGTTGGTCACTTCTGCTGCACATAATTTCAGTAGACTGTAATATGCTGGATTTCTGTCTGAAACTTTTCCATGGACTCACAATTCTTTGCTAAATTTGTTTATGCTTTGTATGATTTTGTTTAGCTTATCCTTTTTAGTGTCTTCTATAATTTTGATGATTGTTTTGTTTATTAAACCCATTATCTGTTATATTTTCTTTGTGCTTATGGAACACCTTATTGATACTTTTTAATCTCTGTTGTCCTTTAGAATATTTTTTGTTTGTGGCTTTTGATTTCCTCTCCCTTGATTCCCTATGAATGAGGTTTGAGGAAGTTGAGCGTTTTTGGAGGCATTTTCTTACCTTGTCTGATATCTGTATTGCTTTTTGGTTTGCTTTGTGCTGAAGTTTGTGGCCCATATATTAGACTGTTGCTAGTGAAGAGATCTTTGTAGTTAGTGTCTGCTTTTGATTGATGTATTCTTGGCATGGCTATGTATAGGCTTTTCCCGAGATACAGTCACCTCCATTAATTTGGGAGGGGAGGATTTAGTATAATTGGTCAATTCCTAGTTCTCTTGAAATAAATAGTGGTATTGTTAACACAAATGTAATCTCAATATTAATATACAGATTAAGCACGCCAACAAGTGTGCCACCCTACTAAATAAGCTATGTAAACTTTGAAAAATTTACGAGAAGTCAGTGAACTTTTACAGTGATTGTTATTGTATTTAACTTATGATAAAGACTATATCAGGGGTATGCTGGAGTTGTAGTTCAGTGGTAAAGCACATGCTTTGCATGTATGAGGCCTTAAATTCTATATCAGCACCAGAAAAAAAAAAAAAGAACGTCTACACACACAAATGCACACGTATGTATCAGAAGGGTAGATTTGCTTCATTTAGAGCCTACCTTCCTGCTCTCCTTGTTCATATTTTTCTTCCCTGCTTTTGTTTTAAAATGAAAATAAAGTAATTTCAATAGCAATATAAATTTCTTATTTATTTTTTTTAGTACTAGGGATTAAACTTGGGACCTTGTACTTGCCAGGCAGGTGCTTATGTGGTTGAGCTATATCCTCGGCCCTATAGTAATATAAATTGTGGAAAGATACTGGACTAAACATTTTGGGAACCATTTAAGGTGTATTTGCATATCTTTCTGTCAGTCTTTATTATTATTTTTGTCTACTGGACACTGGGTTTCTTGGAAAAAAGTAGGTTTGATTTTTTTATTTTTATTTACCACTTACTATATTACATAGTATATATTATGTACACAATTTGCTGTATGAAAAAAGTACAATTTCCAAGTGAATGGTAAATGGCAATGGAATTCCCATCTCTGACAAAACTAAACAAAAAAAGGGGATATAAATGAAGAACTATTTTTGTATCTGTATGTACAAAATAGGATCGATTCACAGCTAGTCTTAATGATCTTTCAAAGATTTCTTTGCCAGAAAATGAATTGACGGTAAACATAGATGGAATAAATAATATCCTTGTGCTTTTTATTTTTTGATGTAGGTACTCTTAACCTTGTAATTCCATGGAAAAACCTTTATACTCAACCAGTTGTAGCTGTTTTAGAAGAAATTTATTTGCTCATAGTGCCTTCTTCTAGTAAGTAAATTGTTTAAATTATAATTTACTTTTAAAACTTTGCTTCATGGTACAAAATGAAGAGTTATAAAGTACAAGTTAAAGAACTGGCTAACACAAAATGATCCAAAAAAGTGGTCAGCATGACCTAATGATAGTGGCTTGTTGTGAATATTGGAAAAATAATAAATTATTCTTATGTATATAGAAAAGTCTTTATATTTTATACATATATTTGCTCAATAATGCTTTTGGGGATCTTTTAAGCTATTTTAATATTTACTTTTAGTATTTATTAGATCAAATAAATTAATTTTAATTTTTTTTTGTTATGTATTTGGTACGGGGTCTCACTGTGCAGCTTGGACTTGTAGTGATCCTCCTGTTTTGAGCCTCCCACCACAGGGATTACAGGCGTGCACCATCACACCTGTCTTAGCACATCCAGGGTTAGAGCTGGCACAGAATATGGTGCCAGGGAATGAACCCCGGTCCCTGCACTTGCCTAAGCAGGTGCCTAGTCCACTGAACTATCTCACCGGCCCATATTTTAAATTTTTGTAGACTGATTAAGAAATTTATTTTCAAGGATATTTTTTGGAAGAGTAGTTTTAGATTAAGATTCTTCCTTTTTGTGCTTAATGCAGGAATAAAATACGATCCTTTAAAAGAAGAAAAACAACTCATAGAAGCAAAACAGCAGGAATTAAAAAGGATAGAAGAAACAAAACAAAAAGTTGATCAAGGTAAAGAAAATAAAAATCATTGGTAATAAAACTTTCAGGTAAGACAAAGATTTAGAAATTAATCCTGACATATCTATTATTGATTACCTTAAAAATGACCAAATGTATAGGAAAAAAGAACTTTATTATTTATTGATAAGATTCAAAGAGCTTCTATTTTGCTCCCTGTTTTACTTAATTATGTGGTCCTTTTATATTAAAATACATTTAGTTAAATCATTTGGAGTACATATGACTTTGTTAATTTTCATTGTCTAAGGTTTCTACATGCATGTACAAATATCTGAGTTCCAGCTTTTGATTGTCCTTAGATGTTCAAAGTAGAATTGTTGAATCGTGTGGTAATTCTTTGTTAAATTTTTAAGGAACCACGATTCTGTTCCCATAGTGGCTGTGCATTTTATATTCAACTAACATCTCATAAGGGATCCAGGGGCCGGGGAGATGGCTCAGTAGAATAATCCCTTGCCTGGCAGGCACAAGGGCCTGAGTTCAATCCTGGTTCCCCCCACCCCTCCAAAAAAAAATTATAAGGGATTCAGTATCTACATCTTTATTATGTATTATTTTGAGAATAGCTGTCCTAGTGGATAAAGGGTGTTTTATGCATTCAGGTTTTGATTTGCATTTCTCTGATAATCACTGAAGTTGAATTTTTTTCATGTGACTGTTGGTTATTTGTTTATCTTCTTTTGGAGAAATGTTTGTTGAAGTTCTTTGTTCATTTTTATCCAGGTTCTCTCTGTCACTTTGAGTTATATAATTCTTTGTATATTAATAAATATTCCAAATCAGATATATGATTAACAAATATTTACCCACCTGATGGGCTGCCTTTCTACTCAGTTGATAATGTCATTTACTACACACGTTCATTTTTATGGTTTTTATTTTCTCATTATGCCCATGGTTTCTGTTAAATAATGGAGCATATTTATAATGTTTACAGTGGCTATTTTAATGTCTTTATCTGCTAATTCCCTCTTATATGGTATTTATTGGTCTGTTTTTATTGGCTGATTTCTCTCCCAGATGTGCTTAACAGTTCACGGCTTAACAGTTCACCAGAGATGTTGGATTCATTGCAGCTCTGTAAATGCCGTTATCACTGAGTGTTTGCCTTGGCTTCTTCTTTGTCAATAATGTTGAAGAGGGGGCCTGGCCTTAGCTCAGTTGTTTAAGTGGCTGCTTCCACAAAGCTGTCAGCCTCAGGTTGCTGTAGTTCGATCCCCACAACTCTCCAGCCAGCCAAACCAGCCAAACGTGCCAAACCAGCCATGAGGGCATTTGGAGCAAAAAAAAAAAAAAAATTATTTTCGATTTGATTTGAAACTGTCTCATTGCTATATGTTTATCAATAAAACTTTGAAAAGAAAAAAATAAAATAAAATATAATTCTAAAAAAAAAAAAAATAATAATGTTGAAGAACCATGAGTAGTGATGCACATCTGAGAGGCTGAGACATGAAAATCCTAAATTTGACTCTAGCCTGAGCAGTTTAGTAATCTTGGATGTACCTCAGTGTACAGGCCCTAGCTTTATTCCTCACTATGCCCCACCTAGTACAATGTTAGGGTTTGGTTTAGCAGATGTCAAATTCCTTCTTCATCATGTTGATCCTTTCCAGCTTGTTTAAGTTTCCTTATAGTGAATATAGGCTTCGCTTGAAGTTTATCTTTCCAAATTGATATAAAGGTTTGACTTTTTGGAAGTCTTCTCTTGTAGTACCAGTGGTTCTATGAAATTAGATTCCAGTTGAACACAGTTCAAAGGTCTTCTTCCCTGTGGGTATTTGGATAGCACTGTCACAGCAACCTGGACCATGTTTCTGGTCTGCTTCCTGGGGTTTCACCCTATATGTGTGCAGAGATGTGTTTTGCAAATGACTCAAAGAATGTAGTGCATACTGGAACTCTGTCTCTGGTCTGTTCTCTCCATGTATCATGATTTCTGCCTCATTGCAGCAACGCTTAACTTGGAGCTCACATAAGGCTTTGTGATTTCTTAGCTCTGCTTCTTTTGGTCTTCTATCTGTAAGCACAGACTAACATCAAAGATAAAAACAGTAAGTGCCCACAGGAGCACAGCTTAACAAGCACAGTGTGTTACCAAGGCAAGAAAGGACAGACTGACCTGTCCCTTGCTCTTATGACGGGTTGAGCTCCCACATTTAAGCTCAGTAGCAAGAAGCCTTGCTGTGCTATGGAGAAGCAGTTATGAGCTATCTTGGGTGCAGGAATTCTTTTGAAGGAAGACAAATGATGTGTGGTGGCCTGGTTCTTCTGCTGAGGTCAGGGGACCTAAGAGACAGCACTGATCTGCTTAGACCAGAAGCCTACAGCCGCCGCAGACTAGGGCTCAGTTGGCAGTCAGCCTCTATAATTCACTATCCTTGTAACTTCCTGTAGCACTGTCACCAGCTAGAAAAGAATCTGTTCTAGAGAAGGGGTTGCATATGTATACACTTGGATTTAGATAAATGGAATTACAGTGGTGTAGGCACATGCCCCTTATTCTCATGTCCAGTATGTATCAAATGATGACTAGCTGTCCTCAATGCACTGGAAACCCAGTTCTGACTCCTCTGGATACAGAAGCTGCATGTCATGTGGAATAACAGTGTAGAGATCCCAGTGGGTTAGGATCTGATGGAGCCATATTTGATCATGCACTAAGCCCCTTTAACACTGTGAGCACAGTGTACCCCTGCAGCAGTCAGCCTCAGCACAAGCCTGTAAGTAGGTGGGATACCCCATCCCCCACGTGCTATCTCAGTTTCCCTGCTATCCCCAAAGGAGCATTCCACCAGGGCACTGACCATGTGGCTCCTATGTAGCATGCTGGGACTGTCTGATCCTTTATTTCTGTTCAACTGGAAAATGTTGAAAGTATCGTTTTCTTAAAAATGGAACATGATTTTTTCATCATTTCTGGAGAAGAGACAGGAAACTAATTTCGTATTTTGTATCATGGAGGGAGGAGTATACTATACTGAAATAACGTACATTTGAGCACAAGTAACTTACAATGGTAGGCATTAATTTTTATGGGAAATTCTTGCCTTGTTGATCTTACTGGCTTTTATATATGCCTATTGTAATTCTTAATATTCATTATTTCGCATGTCTGTATACTTAGGCAGTTAATAGATTAATTATAAAATTTAGTGTCATAAATTTTACATAATGGCATTACTCTTTTTGAACAAGAAGCTAGCTTTTGAAAAATTGCTGCATGCAGTTACTTTTGAAAGTCTTTTGGTATGAAAGAGTTAAGAAAATAGGCTATTAATAATTCTATTTAAAATACGGGGGCCGAGGAGATAGCTCAGTAGAATAAGCACTTGCCTGGTAAGTGCAAGGGCCTGAGTTCAATCCCTGGTTCTGGAAAAAAAAAAATTGAGGGGCCAGGGAGATACCTCAGTAGAATAGGCAGTTACCTGGCTAGTACAAGGTCCTGAGTTCAATCCCTGGTACTGCAAAAAGAAAAAAAAATTATAGATTTGTTTTTAACAAGGGAATATGTTACTTTAATATATGGATATTGTAGGATGTATATATTTCATTGAAGTTAAAAAGCATATTTACAATTGTAGAACACCATCCGGATGAGAAGCAAGACACTTTTGCAGAAAAACTAGTCACTCAGATCATAAAAAATCTTCAAGTGAAAATTTCCAACATTCATATCCGTTATGAAGATGATGTAAGTATGTGATTTTAAAAATATATGCATTTATACATTATTTTACAGTTTATTTGCCACACTTTGTAATGGTCAGCCAGTTAGATTGCTGGGAGATAGGGGGAGAGATGACATGATTTTTCTCTTTCATACTTGCAAATTGTGATTTTTAGTCCTTAGTGGCAAGTCCTTAGTTATACTTTGTATAAACTTCAGATCAGAAAGGAAGATGCCTTGGGATTTATAAATTTAAATTATATATTTTTAAATATACTATTTTACCTCCTGGGAAGAGCAAAGGTGTATGAATTGGTAGAGCTAGACCTGTTTGACATTAAATAGTTCATTGTTCTCTTAAACACATAATTATTTACTTTAAGTATTGAGTGTCTTTTTTATAGCCATATAAACTAAAACTATAGTAATATGATACAACACTAATAACATTGAGTATTTCAATTTGTTTCAGGAAAAATATAGGAACAAAAGTTACTTGAAAAATAGGGGGGTGGGGCCACATGAAAAAGAGAAAAAGAAAAAGAAACTTTTTGACTCTTTGAAATAGGGTATTTCCTACCAAGTTAAGGTTTTCTATAAAGTGAATTTTGTCCAGACTCTAAAAAAATCGGAATAATATTTACTCTTTTCCACTTAGATTACAAATCGAGACAAACCACTGTCATTTGGTGTTTCCCTTCAAAATCTCAGCATGCAGGTATTTTATGAAATTTATGCAATTACTTGTTTTTTTGTTTTTACCACTAGTGAGTTCTTTGAGAGCAAAGAAGTTTTTGTGATTACTTACCGGATGATATGTTTTCAAAGACATTTCATAGGAAATTGTCTTAGGATATTGTTAGTAGTACCATACATTTACGTACGTAAGAAATTGGATTTCCACTAGCCTTTTAAATGTAATGATCTTTTTACTGCTGTTCTTTTTTTGCTTTTCAGACAACTGATCAAAACTGGGTTCCATGTTTACATGATGAAACTGAGAAATTAGTTCGTAAGGTAAAATAAATACCCTAGACTTGATGAAAAAAAGAAAGACAAATGGTACCATATGCATAGATACAAATTTTTGTGAGTTGTGTTCATTTGTTGAAATGGTATGGGTCACTTACTTGAGACTTCTGAAAATAGTGTGTGTTAAAAATGCTTCAAAGAGGGGCTGGGGAGGTGGCTCAGTGGAATAAGCACTTCCCTGGCAAGTGCAAGGGCCTGAGCTCAATCCCCGGTTCTGCAAAAAAAAAAAAAAAAGCTTCAAAGAAAATGAGATATATAATAAACTCGATTTATTTTCAGTTAATTCGATTGGATAACCTTTTTGCCTATTGGAATGTGAATTCTCCGATGTTTTATCTTTATGATTATGATGAATCATTGGTAAGTTCTATTGATATATATATGTATATATTGGTGTTGTATTTTGTGAAAGGTATAAATCATTGTCAGTAATCTAAATATAAGTCATTATTTTCTAGGCAAAATTCATTAGTATTTATGGAAATGGTGAATTGTACAATGCATGCATATGTACAAACACACCTTAATAGGTGCCTGAATATTCTTTTGTTACAGTTTAATATAATGTTTAATACCTTTAATGTATTGCCATAGCTAAGTTCTCTTGTTTGAGTTAATTTTTTAAAAATGGCTTTTGAGCATCTTACAGTTAATAGAATTTTGTAGAATAAAGATATATTGACATGAATGTAAATAAAAGTAACTTTTCTTTTAATAGTACAGCTTAAAGAATGGCATTGTCAATGAAAATATAGTTCCAAGAGGTTATGATTTTGGTAAGTATGTTCTATAAAATAAGGGATTTGATTAGAAGTAATCAATATAAAGTTTACACTGACATTGTTGATAATACTTTGACCTTTATTGTGTAGGTTATTGTGGGGGAGCATTTGGCTATATTTCAAAGCTATGGGTGAGAAATGTTTTTATTAGGCAGACAGAGAGAGAGAGAGGGAGAGAGAGAGGAGAGGAGGGGAGGGGAGAGAAGGGAGAAAGTTGAGAGAGTGTTACTGAGGAACCCAGGACCTCATGCATTCTAGGTGAATGCTGTATGTTTGAACTGCACACCCTTACCTCTTGGACTTACTTTTTTGTTGTATCTTACTTGTTTTTTGAAACAGTCTTGCTGTGTAGTTCAGGCTGATCCTGAACTCACTATGTAGGACAGGTTGGCCTTGAACTTGCATCAGTGCTCCTTCCTTAACCTTTGGAGAGCTGGGATTATAGGCATGTACCATACTCCCAGGCATCTTGTGCTCACTCTTAAAAGTGTTATTTTCATTTTTAAAAAATTCAGTTTCATTTTCTTTTAGGAAATGAACAGATAAGTTATTTGTTGTGAGTATTGATGATTCTCAAGTTTATTACTTTAGGTTTGACTTCTCTTGTTCTGTAGTCATTTTATGCTATGTTATAGTCCATTGAGGGAAAAGAATTGCATAGTAATTTGAACAGCAAATGATTAATGCAAAGAATTTTTAACAATGAGAGGGAATTACAGTAAAAGGTCAATGGCTATTAAAAAGAAAAAAATGCTAAAGAGTATGGGAATACTAAGAAAAAGGAACAACCCCTACCTTTGGTTTAAGATGAAACACCTAAAGAAGAAAGCCCCTTCCCTCAGCCTGAGATCTAGACCTGGTTGGAGAAGACAGTCTTGATTCACTGGTGGGAAAATCTAGGACAGTACCACAAAACTTGCTGGAAAGTCATCTTGTGTAATATTTTGGAAATTCTTCCCTTACTGAACCTCATGGAGTGGTGTCTCGTTGTGTGTATTTCACTGCAGAACTTTCTGAGTAGGCTGTTAGAGAGCTATGCCTCTGCAGAGGCTTGTTGGATGAGTATGTTGGAAACAAGCAGTGTAACTCTTCTCTCTTATGGCATCTTTATAGTGTTTTGTATTGTAAAGTTTAATGTTATGCTAGCTGGTATAAGAAAAAGTATATAAAGGGCCTGAAAGTGTTTTTCATAGCAGATAATACACAGTGAATTTGGAGCTCAGAGACAATAAATTGATAATTGGGAATTTACTAGGGAAGGAAAGGGGTCTGAAAATGAGTTTCTGTTTTTCTCTTCCTACCTTTGTATTTAATGTAAGAAATGACAATATATTTATAGGCTCATCTGGGAATGATCCAATACAACATGAAAAATTAATGATTCTGGAGAGACGGGAAAATTTCTGGAACAGTGCAGGTGAAAAGTGATAGATGTGTAGTGTACAGGTGGAGAGTTTTACTGCAGATAGGAGCATGGTCAGTTCATCTATAAGACACAGTTCAGTTATAACAGTCCTAGTATTGCCCAGCTAAGTAGATATGGCAATAGAAGTTCATGGAATTTCCCTTCTGAGTTTGTTTATTTTAACCTCAGGGGTTGAAGGTTTTTTGAAGAGTTTATTGATAGACATGTAAGAGCAAGTGGAATGAATCAACTAAGGTGTTGTTCCTAAAATATGGGTCCAACTAGTAGCATCACTTGTGAAACTTAGAAATGTGCATTTTTAGGGCTTATCCTAGGGCATCTAAATTAGAATTTATTGGGACATGTGTGTCTTAGTTACTCTTCTCTCATTGCTGGGACAAATATGCGACACTAGAAGGAAGGAAAGGTTTATTTAGCTCACAGTTACTGGAGATTTCAGTCCATACTCAGCTGGCTCCAAGGCAAAGTGGCACATGGCAGAAAGCAACCTTTCATGATGGTGGCAAAGAGGAAGAGCACAAAGGAGAGGTAGCAGCAGCTCAAGCAGCTAGCTTCTCTTCCCACCTTACATTGTAATGCAGATTACCTGCCCCAGGATAGGTGCAGCATCCACACCAACTGTAATTAATCATGAACTCCAGAAGCTGCCCCAAGACTGCATGAGGCTTTGGGGGGGACACCTAGACACAAACCATAACAATGTGAAATGCAAAGCATTTGATATTTTAACAAGCTGTCCAGGTGAATCCGATGTATAATTTTGAAAGTCATTTGGCTAGTGTAGGGGTTGGGCATATATGTTAAATATTACAGCTTCTGATACATATTCATTTTTTTAAACCTTTAAAAGTACATATACAAATCATTCCTGGCTAAAAGACCATACAATAGTAGGCTGTGGTATGGATTTGGTCAGTCTTGGACTAAAGAAATGTTGTATTGGTGCTTACCAGCATTAAAGACTTACTGAAGATTTACATTAATGCAGGATCCAACAGTGTGGTTGATAGTTTGTTTTCCAGCCACATTTAGTTTCTAGGTACATGTGAGGGGTAAGTGGGTCTAGCTGATCAAATGTTGGCAAAATGAAAAGCGCAAAGGACTTAAAGACAAACACAAGATGATTAAAGTACCAAGTGATGTAAGAGATTAAGGTTGGGGGAGGGATGAAGGAAAGTTGATGGATGGATGCTAAATTACAGTTAGGAGCAAGAAGTTCTGGTACGATATTATACAGTGGGTTTACCATTCATGATCATATTGTGTTGTACATTTCATTTATTATTTTGTGACTGGCTCAGCCCTTGGGGGCAGGGCTAACGTGGCATGTGGTGTTGGGGATCAAACCGTGGTCCCTGAGTGCTTGCCTAAGCAGGCGCTTTAGACTGCTGAGCTATCTTGCTGGCCCATGTTGTACATTTTACAAGAAAAAAGGATTTAAAGAATTGTACCATAAAGAAATGATGAATGTTTCAAGAGATAGATATGTTTGACCTGTTATAAACATTATATGATGTATATATGTATCAGAAGAGTACATGATACCCCATTGGTGTAGATACAATATTTGTGTTTCTGTCTCAGTTAAAAAATAAACTATCCAAACTATCAGTGGACTAAGTGCCTGCTTGGGCAAGCGCAGGGACTGGGGTTCGATCCCCGGTACCAGATGCTGTGCTGGCCCTGCTCCCAGGTGCGCTGAGTTGGTGACCGAATCCACGTGTGGTACACACCTGTAATTCCAGTGCTGGGGACACTAAAAACTGGAGGACCCTATGAGTTCAAGCTGTGTAGTGAGACTGTACAAAAAAAACCAAAAATAAACTAAAAATATAGGTCTTCAAAACAGTAAGAAGAAAGTGATAATGGCTGTTTAGCCGAGTAGGGTTAGAATTCAGGATGTGAAACAGAGGTGAAGGGTAGAGAAAAGGAGACAGATCAATGATTATATTCGGATAAATATTTTTGAATAAAGTATTAAAATTAAGTGCTAGTTCTTTGAGATAATTAAAATGAACACATAACATTTGTACACAAATTAGCTTATAATTTAATATTTAATTTTTATCTAGAGTCTATTACTTCCTCTGTGGAGCATATCTGTTGAGCTGACCGGGCAGTCCTGGACACAGTCTCTCCTTTTATTAGAAATGGAAAGGAGCAATAGGTAGACACAAGAGGAATTCAATTTACAAATAATTTCATTATAAAATGGAGACAAATTATAAGCTTCCTCAGCATTTCTAGTATTCTCTCAAACAGTGTATTTTTTTCCAGAATCGGGGATTGAACTCAGCCCCTTGCACTTGCCAGGGAAGCACTTACTCCACTGAGGCATCTCCCCGGCCCCAAACAGTGTATTTTTATTAAAACCATTTTATGGGATTTTTTTTTCCCTTTTAAAGAGAATGTTCTTGTGTTTAAGTGTTAAATAGGTGTTTTAAGGAGTTCAGTTACCCTTTAATTTTACTTGCAAAACACAATGAGAATTACAAGTATGAAAAGATAAAAGAACCATCTGCACTAATAAGGAACAGTTTATCTCACCAAACCATGGCAGCGTGGACATTGGGAAACAGGAGAGGGCATAAAAGAAATGGAAATCAGTGTTTGTAGCTTGATTCCTTTAGTGCCTTTGAGACTTAAAATATAGCTTTAATATTTCACTTTGTTATTTTTCAGTATTTCGTCCTATATCTGCTAATGCCAAGCTCCAGATGAATCGCCGATCAGATTTTGACTTTTCTGACCCTAAAATAAACTTGGAAGTTGAGTTACATAACATAGCAATTGAATTTAATAAGCCACAGGTGATTCTGTTTTTATGAAATTTAAAATTTGATGAATTTAAAAATTTTTAAATTAAAATTTAAGTAAAAGTAAGATTTTAAGTATTTTTCTAAAATTCATTGGTAACACTTCCTTTAAAGTTGATAATTAAATTTTTTTCCTTTAACAATTAAGCAGAAAGTTTGAAGTATTTAAGAGCTTTAATTTTTCCATTCTTTAGTATTTCAGTGTTGTGGAGCTTCTTGAGTCAATTGACATGATGAAACAAAATCTGCCATACAGGAAGTTCAGACCTGATGTGCCTCTTCACTATCACGCCAAGGAATGGTAAAATGCCTTAAGGTTTTTACTTTTTTTGTGTGTCTGTGTGTGTGGTACCGGGGATTGAACTTGGCCTTGTTCTTGCCAGGGAAATGCTTATTCTACTAAGCTATCTCCCTGGCCATGTTTTTACTTTCAAAGGTTAGGACATAAAAATAAGTTTAATAAATTTTTAGGATACTGTTTAACAACGTTTTGTCACTGAGACAAAATGCTTGCTGCCCACAGCTTAAAGGAAGTGGGGAGGTTAGGTTTGGCTCACATGTTCTGGTGGGTTCAGTCTGTAGTTTACTGGCTCCAAGGCAGAAACGGCATGGTGCAGGGGTGTGGCAGAGAAAAGCCAGGAAGGAAGCAGACAACAGAGGCAGGACGGAAGAGCATTCCTTTCCAGGTCACTTTCCATCCATGTGAGACTTTTGGGGTACATTTTTGTCTAAATCATACTAGATACACTTTTTATGGTCTGAGGCAGGGTAAGTAATTTGTGGCTAGCAATGTATAGAACTACTTTTGCTTACTGCAATGAAAATTGACTCAAGGGATTCTTCCTAACAATTTGTAACGAGGATCAGTCCTTTTCCTCAGTCGAGGATCAGTCTTTTTCCAACTGTTAACCAATATTTTGGTTTATTTTCCAGGACTTTCATCATTTTCTCTCCTTCTCACCCCATTTGTCCTCTTCCTCCACACTTTTTTATCAATTCATTAATGCTTTAGTACTAAACTTCTATTTTAAAATCTGACAAAGTTATAGGAGCCTATAAATTAATTATTTCTGTTTTTAAGCTCTTTTCTAGTTACTTGAAGTTGAAATTACTCATCAGTTGAATTTTTTCTACTTAAATGAGTAATGTGCAAAAAAGCCTTTATAGTTCTTGTATAGAGTTATACTTTTCTACACAAAATTGCTTATTTTTTGCTTATTTTCACTTTGGAAACAAGTAAAGTTAATAATGGATTGTTTATATAAGCAGGGGTAGGGAAGAGTACGTGTTCATATAATACATGATTTTCCTGGTCTCTGAATGGTTATGCATACGTTTAGGGTTCATAAGGTTGGTCTGAGAATGTTAAGTTCTTCTTATTTTTTTTTTTTTTTTTTTTGAAATTAGGTGGGGTTATGCTGTACATGGTGTTCTTGAAGTAGATGTTTGCCCCAAATTACGAATGTGGTCATGGAAACATATTAGCGAACATAGACAAAAAATGAAGCAGTATAAAGAATTTTATAAAAAAAAACTAACAAGTAAGAAGCCATCTGGTGAAATTCTCATGTCTTTGGAGGTTAGCATTAAAGAACTATGATTATTTTGTACTGTATTACTTTATTGAGTAATCATTATTGTAATTTTTACTGACCATGCTTTTTTTTATTTAGACTTTTTTGGGCTCTTATTTACTCATTTAATAAAGTTCTGTTGAAATTCTGTTAACTCTTAAAATTTAGTAATTTTCCATCTTGAGGAATTTGGGTTCATGCGCATACAAACTTGAAGCTTCATTTTATATCATTCTTAACCTTAAAGCCTAAAAAGTGTTCACTACCTTCTTTCCAAGTTTCTCTCTTGATTTCAGACCTGTAAATTTTCTGGTACCAGCCAATTTCTGCTATTATTGTGTGACTGTATATTAAGTTTTCTGTCTTCTGTGTATACAGTATTAGTTATAAATGTGAGTATGCTAAAATATGTCTTGTCTTTCTGCTATTTCAGTTTTCCTGGTCCCTAAAGTTCTGTTTAAGTTCCATCTGTTGTATGAACTTTCCTATGCTTACATCTTGTCTCTTGCATAAACTTCCCTGAACTTTGTGCTCCTAAGTAGATTTTTTGTCTTAATTCTTGTGCTATCTCTTGCAACTTTGTATTTAATTATCTGTCTTGAGGTATTATTCTTGCATTAGTCTTATCTTTTAGCATCATGGTGTATTTTTTTAATTTTTATTTTAGGGAAGGGTCTACAGGGTGTTCAGGGTCTCACTACTAGATTGGACTCTTAGTGATCCACCTGTTTACAGCCTTCTAAGAGTTGGGATTATAGGCGGTCCTCACGACACCCAGTCTCAATTGCCATCTCAGCACACCCAGGGGGTGGGGCCGGCAGGGCAGGCCCTGGAATCAAATCCCCAGCTCTTGAGTCCGCTTGCAGGTGCTTTAATCCTCTGAGATATTTGGCTGGCCCCTTATGGTGTATTTTAAAAGGGACTATTTTACCAGATGGGTTAAATCTTGTTTAGACAGAGGGTAGTTATTTTTTTGAAATTAATATAACCATTCTGAATCTAGGACAGATTTCCAGTTACTAGTAAGAACTGATTTGCCCATAAAACTTGAAGTTGGGTAGGTGTAATGAAAGACTTACCTTATCTCAGTTTATGTCAATAGCCCAAACATCTTTGAAAAGTGAGTAAGTTAAAAACAAGTCTTACATCTTTCTGTCTAGTCCTACTTGGAATATACTAATGATGACAGCTCAACTGTACACATGCTATGAGGAATATATAGTTATGTTTTTAGGTTAAAATGACACTGATTATTTGTAGTTAAAACTCCAGTACAAGTTATTTTACAATGCATGTATAATGCCTTTCCCTATGTGGTTGTAACTCTGTTTATAGTTGTAACTCTTGTATGTGTGACAGGTATAGTTTCTTTGTTTAAAATGCCACTCTGTTCTACTAATTTTTATGCTGATTATATAGATACTGTCTTTCAGAATTTAACATGTATATCTGATGTTGATTGGATGTTGTCTTCTGCTTTGTATCCTATTTTCTTTAGTACAGAAATTTGATACATTGTATACATATAATTATGTGAAATTAACATTTTCATTTATATTTTCAGGAATTGGAGAAAACACTGGATGTCTTTAATATAACTATAGCTAGACAACAGGCAGAAGTTGAGGTAATTTCAGATTATCATCAGCTATTAAGAATAAATTTAGGGGCCAGGGAGATGGCTCAGTGGAATAAGCACTTCCCTGGCAAGGGCCTGAGTTCAATCTCTGGTTCTGCCAAAAAAAAAAAAAAAAAGAATAAATTGAAATTGTATGACAAATGTGATGTTATCAATATCATGCTGTAAAATGCTGTTTCCTTTAAAAGGGTTCAAATTTAGTTTTGTGCATTATAAGAAAATTTGAGTTAATTTTTGCCAGATTGATTTAAATTAGGCAAGTTTGTGTGTGTGTGTGTGTGTGTGTGTGTGTGTGTAGTATCTTACTATTGAGGTCGGATTTATAGTGATCCTCCTGATTGCTGCATCCCTAGTGCTAGGATTACAGGTGTATGCCACCACGCCTGGACTCCATCGCCAGCTTAGTGTGCCTGGGAGTGGGGCTGGCGCGGTGTGTGATTCCAGGAATCAAACCCTGGTTCTTGCACTCACCTAAGCAAGCGCTTAGTCTGCTGAGCTATACTGCCGGCCCTAGACAAGATTTTATAGAAAAAATTTTTAGTAATTATTGGGCGTACCATATATTCATAGTTCATGTGTTATTGAAAACGTAGGTATTTTCTCTACACATTACTGTGTCTTGTAAGACAGTGAGGAGAACTATGTGGCAATCTGAAATTCTTTTGACTGAAGTTGCAGTTACTGTGTTCAGCTGTTTATGTTGTTTAGGTTCACTCACTTAGGTGGGTACATTTTGGAAACACTTGTAGTTTTTTTAAAATTAAGTTTATTGATATATTTTAGGGATACATAATAATCACATTAATCATAGGGAATTTGGACCTGTACATGGTAAAACATGATTCTTTTCCCCCTTTCCCTTACTCCTTTGTGATCCCTCTTTCCCTCCTATTTACAAAAGCTTTGTTTCCATTTTTCCTTATTTTGCCATCATTCTTTTCTTTTTTTAAAATTCTTCTTTCTAATGTCTTCAACATTCTTCATTCCCACTCCCTTTTCCCTAGTCACCTTTTCCATTTGAACGTTTGCTTCTAGGTCACAACATCCATTACATGTTTGCTCCTTATTTATACTTTGGGTTTCTCATACCATAGAAGCAATGAGTTGTTTTACACGTGTGTCCACTTTATTTCACTGAAGAGTTTGGTCTCAAGATGCAGCTGTTTACCTAGAAATGTGTTGTGTGCATCCTTCTTTATGGTTAACTAATACTCCATTACATAAAAGCATATCTCACATGATTAAAAAACTAATTAGAACCAGAAGAGACCTAGAATACTATAGGCGGTTCAGGGCAACAAAGGCAAGGCAGGTGGCATCACACTCCCTGACTTCACATTATGCTATAAGGCTATTGTGATTAAAAACAGGGTAGTACTGGTAAAAACAAACAATGGGATTAGCAGTCCTGATTAGAAGTTGCAAAAATAAGTCCATACATACTCATCTACCTTAATCTTTGACAAAGGAGCCAGACACTTTCTTTTTTTCCTTTTTTTTGAACCGGGGATTGAACTCAGGCCCTTGCGCTTGCCAGGCAAGCACTTATTCTACTGAGCTATCTCCCCGGTGAGCCAGACACTTTCAATGGGAAGGTATTTAATAAATGATACCGGTAAAATTTTTTCTACATGTTGAAGATTAAAACCAGACCCATGTTTTTCACCATGTACTACACTAAAATTCAAATGGATCATAGATCTAAATTTTAAAACAGAAACATTAAATCTGTTTAAGGTAGAGTAAGTAAAACTGTTGAAGACATTAGTAAAGGCAAAGATATTGTGAACAAAATCGTGATTGCACAGGAACTATCCCAAAGAATCAACAACTAGAATCATATTTTATTAAAAAACTTGTGCAGCAAGAGAAACTACCAACAGAGTGAAGAGGTAATCCACAGTGTTGGAAAAATTTTTTGGCAGCTGTTCTCAGACAAAGGAGTAATGTCTAGAATATATAAAGACCTCAAGGGTCCAGGGAGATAGCTCAGTAGAATAAGCACTTGTCTGGTCAAGCACAAGGTCCTGAGTTCAACCCCTGGTACCACCAAAGAAAAAAACCACCTCAAAAAAAAAAAATCAGATTCCCTAAATTTAAAGACCCAATTCAAAAGTGAGCTTTTGAAAGGCGTAGATACTTCTCATGTAAAGTAAAAATGGCAAATACGTAAAAATACTCAATATCACTGATTGAGAGATGCAAATTAAAATAATGCTAAGATTTGAATTCCAGGAAAATGGCTTATTATCAAGAAATCAGCCTTACAAATGCTGTTGGGGCTCTGAGGAAATAGGAACTCTACTGTTGGTGGGAGTGTGAACTGTTGCAACCACTGTGGAAATCAGTATGGAGACTCTTCCGAAAACTAAATCTAGAAGTTAACATTTGATCCAGCTATTTCTCTTCTTCCTCCCAAAATTAAACACATCATACCGTAGCAGTATGTGCACATGCATATTTATAGCGGCACAGTTTATAATAGCTAAATCTTGGAAACAACCCAAATGTCCATTAACTGATGAATGGATAAAGTGTGGTTCTTTTATACAATGAAGTACTAAGTTCTTTTGATTTCTGAGAAAGGGTAATTTGTTATTTATGTGTAAATTTAATCATTTTAGGTAAAGAAAGCTGGGCACAGGATTTATAAAGAAGGAGTAAAAGATCCAGAAGATAAGAAAGGGTGGTTTAACTGGCTGTGGACTTGGTCAGAATCAAAAACCAAGCAGACCAAACAGCAACCAGATGTTAAACCTGGAAGTATGTTCATTTCATTTTATAGAACTGTAGTTAACTATCAGGTGTGAAGTTTAATTTTATAGAAAACTTTCTCTGTAATTGTGTATGTGTATTTATAAATGAGGTATTAAGTTTATTAAATAATTTTTTAGGTCTAAAATTTGTTTATTTTGCTTCATTTTTTTCTTTTGTTGCTTGATGCAACTTTCTTTTTTCCTGTGGATTAATTGGTTGATTCTTTTTAAAATTATAATTACTTAGTTACATTACTTGTAGAAATCAATGGGTTTCACTGTAACATTTACATACAGGCAATTAAAGTGTATATGTTAGTTTTTAAAAATTTTAGTAATGCTTACAAAAGAGCTTTATATACAGAATGTTTAGTGAATGCATTTTGTATAGTAATAGATCAGTAAAGATTGCATAATCTTGAACACCATTTTAAATTTTAATTGAAATTGTTTCTTGGAAAGATTTTTAGTTCTTAAATGCTTAATGTCATAGCTTTGGCACGAAGATGTACATCCTAGCTATCTGTCTTGGTAGAAGTATGGCCCTGGGAAAATTAGTTAAATTCACTAAAATTGTTTTATTGTCTGTAAATTGGAAGGAAACTATGATACTACCTCTGCCTATTCTGTTTTTATTTCTTGGTACATTGTCATTAACTTCCCAGTACAGGTAGCCCTTATTTGAGCTCCCGATTAATACAAACATTTAAAAATTTAGATTGCTAAATTTGTAGGTTTAGTAGTTTATGATCTTGGAGAGTAACTTCTAAAATTGCAAATACTAATCTAGCATTCACTGGTTCTGAAAAGTGATAGAAAAAGAAAGTAAACTTTACATTTACTTTATAAAGACAGTTAAGGTTTTATATTGTTGGCTAAGAATCTGAATCAGTTCTTTATGATTTATAGTTCTTGAAGAAATGTTGACACCTGAAGAAAAAGTTTTACTCTATGAAGCCATTGGGTACAGTGAAACAGCAGTTGATCCAACTTTGCCAAAAACAGTAAGATGATCTTGCTTTATAACACTAATGTGTTCTTACCAGTTCACATTTTTCCCCCAGTTTAATGTTAGATATGCCTGTTTTAATTTTTTTCAGGCATATATACTACTTACCTGTTCTGTGATCTTTGCTGGGTCTATAAGTATTACATGTATCTTAATTTCCAAAGTTAAATAGAAGTTATTCTGGGTTTTTATGTTGTTTGTTTTAGTGTTATAGTGCTGATTCTTTAAAAGTATGTTGTAGGGTTTTTTAAAAATGGATTATCACATAAAATTATATATTGTATTTATATATTATACATATATATTTTTTCACTGTATTCTTCTGGATATGCTCTAGTTTGAAGCCATGAAGATTTTCATTCACTTGAAAAGTATGTCGGTTGTTCTAAGAGAAAGTCACCAAACACCTGAGCTCATAGACATTATAGTAGAAGAATTTAGTACTTCGATTGTGCAAAGACCAGGAGCACAAGCAATAAAGTAAGAATTTGTTTTCTTTTATAGATAAGTATTTCTAATCTGAAAATCTGAAATCCAAAATGTGCCAGAATCTGAAACTTCTTGATTGTTCTCATGAAAATTCCACACCTGAGCTTACATGAGAGGTCATAGTCAGAATGCAGCCACACTAAAAATACTGCTTTGTACATGAGGTGTATGTGAAATACAAACTTTGTTATCTCATGCATGTAAATATATTCTAAAATGCAAAAACTGAAAATTTTCAAAAATACGTATTTTCTCAATCATTGCGGATAAGGATGTACATGTGTTTTAAAATAAAATTTGACTATGAGGTTTAAGTTTAGGTTATGGTCTTTCAGTTTTGAATACTGTAATTTCATAAGCCCTTACATGTAGTTTTACCAGTTCACATTTTTTCCCCAGTAATATACTGTGTATCTTTTGGAATTAATAATTTTTAATGTCTTGTAATATATCTTCGATAGAAAACTACATGCCATTAAAACAAGACAATAGAGAAAAATCTAAAAATGCTCACCAGCTATACCACACACACAAAATTAACAATGTGATTTTTAATGTGGAAACGTATTTTTCTCTTGTTTTTAAGATAGACTATTGAAATTTAATTCACATACCTACAGCATACTTTTAAAAAAAGATTTATTTATTTATTTGGTGCAGGGTCTCACTACATAGCTCAGATTCATAGTGATCCTCTGTCTCAGCCTCCCCAGCACTAGGATTATAGGCATGTGCCACCTCGCCCAGCATCAGTGACTGGCACAGCTTGGCTCCGGCACAGCATGTGGTACCAGGGGTCTATCCCAGGTCTTTACGCTTGCCAGTCAGGTAATTAGACCACGGAGCTATCTCTCTTGCCAATGGTATACTTTTAAAGTGTACAATTCTTTTTCACAGTTTTATTGTGTATTGGTTTCACACTGATCTATTTACAAGGTGTATAGCTATCACTAATTTCAGAACTTTTCAACAGCCTTTTAGAGTAAAATTAACCTTTTAAAAAGTGGAGTTTATTATATTCTTTTGTATAGTCACCAATCATGTGTAGTCAAAATATCACTGCAGAATGAAACCCTATACTCATTAAATAGTTGTGCTTAATCTTTCCCCTCTGCCTAGTCTTTGGAAAACACCAATATTTGGAAAGCACCAATATCTCTTTCTATAGATTTATAAATTGTGGATATTTTATATAAATGAAATTAATACATGCCTTGTATCTGGACTTATTTCACTTACCATAGTATTTTCAAGGTTATCCATATTTATACACATATGCATTCAAATTCATGGATTTTTAAGATTGAATAATATTCCACAAATTTATTCATTTGTCTATCAGTGGGCTTTCTGATTCTTTGCACCTTTTAGCCAATGGTGCAGTATGCTGTGATGAACACTCATATGAAAGGATTTAGGTAATCTTATTTCGAGTTTGAACCTGGGAGTGGAATTGCTGCAACAGATAACTGATTTTTAAATTTTTGAAGAACTACCAAACTATAATTAATAGGGCTCACTGTTTACACTTAAAGTAGTGCTATATGTGGGTTCAGGTTTTTCATGTCTTTTCTAATAACTGTTCTGTTTTTAATTATAGCCACCCTTGTGACTGTGAAGTGTGGTATTTTATTGTTGTTTTAATTGAGAATCCTTAATGACTAATAACATTGAGTATCTTTTTATGTGGATTTTGGCCATTATTATTTATATATATATATTTATTTATTTCTGAGCGGGGAGATAGCTCAGTGGAATAAATGCTTGCCTGGCTAGCACAAGGTCCTGAGTTTGATCTCTGGTACTGCAAAAACAAAAAACAGAAAAATGAATTTTTTGAGAAAGATTCTCAAAAAAAATAATAATTATATATATTTATATTTATATTTCAAGCTGGCCTCGACCTTGTAGTGATCCTCCTGCTCCAGCCTCACAAGTGCTGATGTTCACCACCACACCCTACTTGGCAATTTGTATATACCTTTATTACTTTCTTTCTTTCTTTTTTTTTTTTTTGGTGGAACCGGGGATTAAACTCAGGCCCTTGCACTTGCCAGGGAAGCGCTTATTCCACTAACCCATCTCCCCGGCCCCCCATTACTTTCATTTTTAAAATTGGCTTATTTTTCTTTTTATACTCTGGATCCTGTACTTCATCTTGTAGCTTTTTTTCACACTGTGATGATCTTGGATGTACAACAGTTTTTAACTTTGATGCAGTTCAGTTTTTTATATTTTGTTACTTATACATTGTTGTCATCTCTCAGATGGTCCATCTAACCCATGGTGATAAAAATCTGCTTTATTATTTCCCTCTGAGAATTTTTATTTCTATTGCATATATATATATATATATATATATATACACACTTAATATCTACTTTGAGTTAATTTTTAATATGAGATAAAGAATGGACACAACTTACATTTGCATGTGGATATCCACATGTCCCAGCACTACTTGTTCAAGAGACTTCTTGCCCCATTGAGTGTTCTTTGTACCCTTATACAGAATGACTTGGACTTCAATTTATGACTTACTTTCTTTTTGCTCCTATTTTCTTTGTACTGAAGAGAAATGAGTTAAAGCCTTGTGTGTACCAGGAAGGCACCCTGTAGTGCTAATTACAGATTCTGAATTATAGCGTCTTTCATCTTAGACTTTCAATATTTCTGTTGTTAGTTGGGTGTGGTGTCACATACCTATAGTCCCAGTACTCTGGAGGCTGAGGCAGGAGGATCACTGACAGTTTGAGGCCAGCCTGGCCTACAAAGTGAGTGCAAGGCTAACCTGAACTGCATAGTGAAACCCTGTCTCAAAAAGACTCTCCCAAAAAAGTCTGTTGTTGTGCCAGTATCTTATTGCTTTGACTATTGTAATTTTAGTACTGTGTATTTTAAAATTGGGAACTAGGGGCTGGCGAGATGGCTCAGTGGTCTAAAGCACCTACTTGGAACAAGCTTGGCAAAGCACAGGGACCATGGTTCAATCCCCCAGCACCACATGCCAGCCAGCCCTGCCCCCTCCCTGGTGGGCTGAGCTGGCCACACACACACACACACACACACACACACACACACTAAATAAATAAATAAATGTTTAAAAAAATAAATAAAAGTCTCTCCGGAAAAAGTTCTCCTTTAAAAAAAAATAAATAAATAAATAAAAATAAAATTGGGAACTATATGTCTTCCTGCTTTGTTCTCACGTCCAGTATTTTTGATTGTCCAGGTCTCTTGCAAAACCTTATGAATTTGAAGATCAGCTTTTCTGTTTCTGCATGGTCCTTTTGATATTTGATAGCTATTGTTTCTACGGATTTTTTAATGACTTCAAATAAAATATGTAGAATCATACATGACTAGAATTAACCTTTTCCAGTTTGCATACCTTTAATGCAAGTTGTCTAGTTGTTTTGGCTAAATCTTCCAGTGTTAGGTTGAATAGCAGTGGTGGAAGTAGGTACATTGCCTTTGTTCTAATCCTAGTGGGAAAGGTAGTCCTTAAGCCATTCAGTATGCTTTTGGCTATAGTCTTTTCCTTTTTGTTTTTTGAGACAGGATCTCACTATGTAGGTCAGGCTGCCTTTGAACTCACCGTGTTCAAAATGATGATGATAGCGTCACACTTGTGTTGATCTCCCTGTCCCAGCCTTCCCTGTGTCTGGATTATAGGCGTGTACTGTCATCCCTACCCTTGCATGCTTTTTCTTAAGTGTTCATTTTTTTGTTAAGTAAGGATTATTGTGCTCCTAGTTCTTTTTTTTTTAAGTGTATACTCTTTTGTTAGCCATTTTGGATTTGTTAATAAATACTTTTCAGGATCAATTGAGATCTTATGTACTTTTAATATATTTCCCCATTTTTCTTAAATTCATCTAGCCTTAGACTTTCTGGGATAAATTCTGTTTGGTTGTGGAATGTAGTTCTTTCAATAGGGTGTTGAATTCATCTGGTGGTATTTTGTTTTATTTAGTTATTTAAGGGGATTTTTGTATTTAGGAGGGACACGAAGTTCCAGTTTTCTTACTCTTTTTATGTCTTCATCAGGTTTTGGTTCAGAATAATGTTAACTTCAAGGGATGAGTTAAGAGGTATTTGTCCTTCTAAAATTTAGAAGAGTTTGAGGAGGATTGTTACTAATTTTTCTTTATCATTTATAGAATTCACCAGTGAAGCCAGTTTTTCCTGAAAATTTTTTTGGGAGTTTATGATTACTGATTTACTCCTTACCAGAAATAGGTTTTAGTTTTATAAGTAAGGCCTATATAAGATATAGTAACTTTTACAAAACATTGTTAAAATCATTGTAAGGTTTTACTTACTGTTATATTTCTGATTTTCTCTTTTAACACATGGGTCTAATTTATGTTACTTAAGAATATGGTTTCAAGGAAGAAAATTTTCAGATGGGAAGGGGAATTAGAAAGGGAGGAAGAGGAAAGAAGGAAGGGAAAAGAGAACAATGATGAAAAAGAAAAAATGGAGACAAAGCTTTTGTAAATAAGGAAAGGAAGAGGAGTTCAAAAGAGGGGAGGGGAATAGGAGAAAAGGATCAAGATATATCATGTATAGGTATATATTTACCATGATGAATGTGATATATGTCTAAAATGTATCCATAAACTTAATTAAAAACTAGATATCTTATAATATCCTTTTCCCAGTATCTATTGTACCCTTCAGATCCCATTTTCTCTTTCAGGTTCTCACATTAAGGAGACAATACAATGTTTGCAAATGCAGGTCTGATTTATTTCACTTAAGAGTATGGTCTCTGGTTGCATCCATTTACAGACAAAAGACTCAAATTTATCCTGTGTTTAGCTGACTAATACCCCATTGTGAAAAATAGCACATCTTCTTTATCCATTCTTCAGTTGATGGGCATTTGGGTATTTCCAGGATTTAGGTACGACAAATTGCACTGCTATAAACATGGGTACATATATGTCACTGGGTTAGGAGGTTTTTAGTTCTTCTGAAAAATA